GCTGGAAAAGAAAAAGGCTAATCTGGTGAATAATCTAGGAACGGAGAGTTTAGGAAAATGTTTTGAGCCGTAGTTCAAGAAAGCAGTAATTAATAGGATAGAGAGAGAATATCTGAGACATACTGGAGCTGGTATAGATCTGTGTAATAGTACTTGGATTAATACTAATGACTTATTAGGGGAAACTGTATGGGTGAAACAGCCTTTGGACACATAATGTAAATGTTTACCTTTGGCGAAAGTCACCATTGAAGGTGATTTTGGTGTGGTCACCACAAAGGCAGCGGTTACTCCGGTAGAGTTAGATAAAGAGTACTATTTGTTAGGGAATAAAACTGACAGTTGACTGTGGAGACTCGTAGTCAGGCGCATGCGCGCAGGAGTCTAGAGAGAGCGAGTGCAAAAGACTTAGATTCCAGATCGGAAGAAAAGAAAGAGATAGAAAGTGAAAGGGTCGTCAATAATGAGCATTCGGAAGAAAGGAAGTTAACCAGTAATACGTAGGAGGCAATTCAAATTGCAGACATCAGTTTAGAAGAAAAGTCTATCCTTGCGGATGTTTCGCCAGCAGAATTCTTGGAAGCACAAAAAACTTGCGCTAGTTTAGCGACCCTGTGGAAGAAAGGGGAAAGTGAAAATGAGAAAGAGTTATAATATCAAGAAAGACTATTCAGAGTGGCAGGTTCTAAAAAAGGGAAGATAAGCGTCAGCTGTGTGTGCCTCTCGTTTTTAGGAAAGGGATCTTGAAGTTATGCCACGAGGAAATCTCTGGTCATTTAGGGGTAACAAAAACCAAGGATAGAGTTTTGACACACTATTTCTGGATAATTGCTACCAGAAATTGAAGAATTTGTGAGGACGTGCGATATTTGTCAGCGTGTAGGTCACAATAAGGATAAAAAGAAAGCCCCTGTGAAGATTGTGCCTGTTATATTCAGAAGTGTTTAGCAGATTAAATATTGATGCAGTAGGACCTCTGATCCCTAGTTCGCGTGAAAAATAAATACTTAATTACGTCTATTTGTGTGCTTCCAAATATCCAGATGCCATTCCTGTACAGAATTTAAACTCTAAATGTGTGATTCAAACCTTGATACAAATCTTTTCTAGATCAGATACCCTAAGGAAATTCAGTGTGATTTGGGTAGATCGTTTACCACGTGAACTTACATCTGAGTTTTTTAGTAAGTTCGGAATTAAGGTGTATCATTCTTCTGTGGGTCACCCTCAAAGCAATTCTGTTGAAAGGTTGCATTCCACCTTGAAAGGGTATTGAAGGCTTTGTGTGGAAAGTGGGAAGGACGGGAAGAATGTTGCCATGTGCTTTGTTCGCCCTTGACTGTTAGCCATGAGAGCACTGGTTTTAGTCCCTACGAGTTAGTACATGGAAAAAATTTGAGCATGCCTCAAACGATTGTGTATGAAAACTGGCTAGAGGAAGAAAGTCCAGACCCCGCTGTGGTCGAGTATGTTCTAGACTTAATAGACAGATTAAAGAAGTGTCAGGAGCTGGCTGTAGAGAGGATGAAAGAGTGTCAGAGTAAAAGGAAACTCTGGTATGATCGCAACGCTGTTACGAGAAGGTTTAAGGTCAGAGATCTCGTGCTTGTTTTAGCCACGTCTAAACCATACAAAATGGATGTGAACTGGATAGATCCAGGTAAAGAAACTAGTGTGATTTCCGAAACCAATTATACGGTAGAGATTCCGGGTAAGCGTAGCAGTGACACCATTTATTACGTAAATTTGATGAAATCTTATTAGCGCCCCGAGTTTGTGAATCTTGTGATGGAGTAGGTCATGGAAGATATTGAGGGAGAAGTGGATATTCCTTATCCCTTGGCTGATCCAACTCAGGTAGATTTTGGAAAATAGTTGGAGATAGTAAGCTAGAAGAAAGAGCTTCGGCAGAGGAAATAGGAAAATTCCAAGAAGTTATAAGGAAGTATGGAGCGTGTTTTCGTCCGACCCCGGCTGTACGTTTTTGGTCGAGATGGATATGATTGTTGGATGAGACTCCGGTTAGAGTCAGGCCTTTCGAATGTCGGGCGAGACAAAACCGACATCCTAAAAGAGGAAATAGGCGGTTTCTTGAGTTAGGAGTCATAGAAGTCGGACAATCTGATTAGTTTCGCCTATGATCTTAGCAGAGGTCCCAGGTAAATATCTCGCTTGTATAGACTACAAAAAAATTAAATTCAAAAAACGTGACGAATTTTTCCCTCTTCCCATATGAAGAAATGGTAGAAAAGGTCAGAGCAGCTCCATTATCACAATCATGGATCTAATAAAGGATACTTCCAGATACCACTCACAGAGCGTGCACGGAGGTATGCCGCATTTGTGACGCCTTTTGTATCTTTCATCCCGAAGAAATGATGTTTGGGCTTTTAAATGCGCCTTCTATTTTTGTAATGATCGCTCAAGTTTTAGGACGGCTGGACAATTTTGTTCTTACCGTATATTGACGACATCGCAGTCTATTCGCCGACTTGGGACAGGCATATGAAGCATTGGATGTGGTTTTAGGTCGCTTTCAGGAGGCTAAATTAACTGTTACGCCCTCGAAATGCAAATTCGAACAAGACCATGTGAAATTTCGGGTCATGAAGTAGGGTCTGGGAAAAGGTCGCCTAGTGAGGCCAGGATTCAAGCAATCAGAGATTTTTCCGATCCCCATACTAAAACACAGATCGTAGCTACTTGGTACTGTGGCTACTATGCAAGGTACATAAAAGACACGCCCGTATTGCGGCACCTTTGACACGCTTGAAGGGAAAAAACAAAAAAGAAAAGTATTTGGACAAAGAGTGCGACGAGGCTTTCAAAAAACTGAAGACCAAACTAGTAAAAATTCCGGACGGTTTATTGCCACAGTATTCTAAAGATTTATTGTGCAGACAGATGCCAGCTTATATGGTGCGGGTATGTGTTGTTCAATTCAGGATGGGGAGAAAGAAGAAAACCCTATATTGTATCTTAGCAAATAGTTTACTAAAGCGGAGCGAAATATAGCACCATTGAAGGAGAACTAGCAGCCATTATTTATGGACTGAAGGAACTAAGTCATTACTTAGACGGACAAAAATTCAAGAATCCAGACGGATCATAATTCCGTTGACATTTTTAAACAAAATGAGGGATCAAATTCTCGTTTGATCGCTGGCATTGTGTCTCCAACAGTACAACTTTGAAATTGTTCATAGGCCAGGCAAATTACCGGTAATGCAGATGGCTGAATCGTGCCCTAGTCTAGTGACTGAATATCACTAATGGATGCAAAGTAAGGAAAAAGTAATGAAATGTGTGAAATGATTTTTGTAGAGTTTTGGAATTAATTTTTGTGTAGATTCGAATTGTTTGCATTGTGTGTTTCATTTCAAAAAAATTTTTAGAATTAAATGTTTATCTAAGATTAGCATGAGTAAAATTTGAGAATATGCTTGTATAAGGCATATTCCTCATGTATAGATAGGGTAGTTTAAATTATGTTTTGTATTTATGCGGTTATGTTATCTAGAAATAAGTGCAGGGTAATGTAACTGGCTTCTCTATTATCACTAAATGGTACCACTTGTGTTTTGAAGCAGTGAAGTGTTATTAGAAATTTTTCCTTCCATAGTCAAGAAAATTCTTTATGAAGGAAGGAGTTGTGATAAGGTCCAAAAAGAAGAAGAGACTGAAGATTTATATGGACAAGGATGTCTCGTGAGCATAAGCTGAAAATTATTATTTTTTAACTTACAAATACGTTTTCAATAGTTGTTAAAATAGTCTTTATTAAAATAATTAAATCGTCGGCAATGTTAAAAACGCAAGCTCGAGAGCCACGAATTGCTCTCGCACGTAAAATGTATAGAATTTGATTTTAAGGAAAAGATTTAGGTTTTTCTCTTCTGTATTGTATGTAGCCATTTTTTTGGGGCGTTCAATAAAATTTTCATGTGATGCTCCGTCATTATCGTTTTCATTGGAGTTCAACATCACACCGTTGAAGCATTATGTATAAACCTAATATATATCCTATGTCGCACACTATGTATAAACCTAATATATATCCTATGTCGCACTTTTGGGACATGAAAAATGCAAGTTGAATTTCGTAAATCGGTCCAGTAAAACGGAAGTTGTAGAATTGACCGATTTTTTTTTTCGTATGCATGGTGCGTGCAGATTATTTACGTATTATACATGTACTTACGTATTATCGCAACCACCTTAGTAGAAGATGCCAAATTTTCAGAATGTGCTAAATTTGGCCACAATGCGCATAATCAGTTTTTAGGAAACCATGCTCAAAACAATCCTTCAGTCAAGCAACAACGCCATTTTCCTGTCTTTTCGTTTCGTATGCATACCATTTTCGTAGGGGTTCTTTTCGTTATATTAAAAGTTCCGTCAGTTTTTATTATGAAATCTTAATATTTTTTGCTCTAACCTCGATCTTAAATATACGCTTGTAATACTGGCGACCAATTAAAGAAATAGTTGGAGAATTTCTGTAGCAATGTAGCATCCTTGCTGCATAACAGCTAAAAAGAGCAACGCTGAGATTATTTTGGCAGACAGCTGATGTGCAGAGCCGAGGTTGTGCGTAGTGCCGAGTATGGGCAGTCAATCTAATATTTTTTAAGCGAAAATTGATTGCTTTTTTATACATGGGGGTAAGAACAGCAAAAATATATATATATACGGAAGAAATTTAAGTATTTTATTTTTTAACGTACCATATACTAGTAAATTTATAATTAAAATTTGTATTTGAATTTACGGAACTTAAGTATGTTTTTTTATATGCCGATCACATTTCCTTACTTTCCATAAAGATCGATATTTTGGGAATCTTTTCATAAAATTCGCCAACTTGCTATCCATAAGCAACTTTTATATTTACTAGAAAACTGCCAAACTACGCCGAGGTGGTTGCATTAATACGTAAGTACCGAACAATATTAATAATTTGAAGCCTGAATGTATTAAAAATATGCATTTTGTTTCAGAGTAAATGGACTAATGTCTAATATACCAGAGTTTGCTGAAGACTTTCAGTGTTCGCCAGATACACCAATGAATCGGGAAAACAAGTGTAATAACTGGTGAAAATTCACCTGAATAAAAGTACGGAAACATTTCCGATGTATTATTATATATGTAATGGCATTAAAATTAACAAATAGCTTTTGTCAGAAATATATTTTGTTCTAAATAAAACACTGAAACCTTGTTCTCATGTCTCCTACATTAATTATTATTCTATTCACAAGAAAACATGAATTCTGATGAAACAAAAATTTGTCTAAAATTCTTACGCTTAAAACATGAGATACCCAAGCTATTCACTGTAGGACTAGTACTATAAACTGAAACAAACATTTGGGTTTTATGAGCTTCATTATTGATTTCTTCTTGGCATTTTACTCATTATGGCCCTCATTTAAGTTACTCATTGCCATATTTCTTCGCATATTCCTCCTAGCGTTTTAGCGCGAGGTTCTGAAAATTTTAAAAATATTCGTGTCATTTCTCCCCCCCTTTATATATATATATATATTGCGCTCAGAGCTGCCCTCAGTTTTAAAACTAATTCGCCCGTATAGGGATAATTATACTATCTTACTGACAAGGATAAACACTCACAAACTACCTGTGAAGGTGTCACACCGAGTGTTTCCTTTCTAATTTTTTAGCCTAGTACAAAAACCGACTTATCACAGCGAAGCAAACACGAACCGATATTCTGTCTATTATTTATCTGAATCGGCTTCACGTTCACCTTCTCTAATTATTGAGGCCTAACGATTAGCAGAGACAACAATAATATTGGACAAGCTTCAAGTTACATGGATATAAGAAAGGCAGTGTCTTATTATGTACTGTAATGTTAATATTCCTATGTATTCGTACTAGAATGTAGGTTTATTTTCAAGAAATTACATTGCAATAGTTACCTGTAATTTATGCATGATTATATTTCACTTGTTTTGTTCTTATTAAAACCGCGTCCTCCGAAAATTAAATTATTCGCTTAAATTTTCCCTCGCATAATTTTTGCATAATAATTCGCGTAGTTTTCGTTGATAAAATTAGTGAAAAAAAAAGAGAGAAAATACGTGAGGAAGTACGGCAAAATTTGTCAGAAATACTAGTGTGTGTTTTGAAACGAGTGTTTGCAAACTCCGATAAGTTGTATCACAAGAGCAATAAAAAATACGCAGCATCTATAGTCAATAAATATATCATGATTATCTCCGATAGCTTTAATTTTAATTCTTAAAAATTTTTTGTGTGTACTAATATTAGCGTAATATAGGTGGAGTGGCTATAGTTAACATTATTTTTCTGTGATCAGCATAAATTTCAAAATCATTTTCTTGCTATTTTTTACTAAGTTTTGTAAAAGAACTGCGATAAGCACTTCAGACACCTCGCAGTCTGCTGTTCCACTGGTTTCGAATCCAGCCAGAGGTATGTTATTTCCTATAACCGCAGATAGATGGCCTAAGTTCTGCTAAAACAAAGGAAGAAAACAGTAGTTTCGCGCTACTACTAAACAAAGGTTAAGAACTGTAGTTTCCCGCTCCATTTGCTTTAGATGGTCGTGTTTTTTCAAGTTTGTGACCCAGATTTGTAATTGTTTTGAGTTAGAATTTTTATTCCGCAGATAAAAATTAAAGTCTATGCTACGAATTTGGGGAAGAATTCTACAGTGAAGAAGGGGCTGATTAGTTTTGAAATTTTATGAAATTTGTTTTTATTGTTGAGATTTTAACTGATATTTTACTGCTTTATTTGGTTTTAAATATGAAGATTTTAAGCTTAAATTTAAATCCTGCTGCAGCAGTCCAGCTCTCAGCTATAAATAAAATGTTGGGTGATACCCCAGATATTATTGCGCTGCAGGAGCCGTATTATATAGAAGGCAAAATGGCACACGTTAAAAGTAAATGGAAAACTATGAACGCAGATAGCGGAAGAGCGGCCATTATTGTTGTGAATGAAAATTTGGAATTTTCTGTAGGGGTAGCCTCCTACTGTATTGTGACAATCATTGTAGAAAGAAAAGGCTTTAAAATGAATATCACCTCTGTTTATTTCTCATCGGCGGAGGACCTGAATGAACATCTTGATGAGCTGGAAGAAGATTTTAGCGTATATGCCGAAGATTTTATTATAAATGGTGATTTTAATGCTAATGTTTTAACTGGGGGGGCTAAGATTTTGGATCAAAGGGGGATTTTAGTAAACGATTTTATTTTACAACATGATTTACAACTTTTTAACGATAGTAATTCTTAGACCTACCTTTTCCTCACCGGTGGGTGTTGGATGGACTGATCTCGCGCTTGGGTCGTCGACACCAAAAATGAGGAACGCTGAAATGGAAATTCTGGACACTGAATCACTGAGTGATCATAAATATATTTTTGTGAGACTAAATGATTTCCAAATTGAAGATGATTACTCCTTTGCTTACAGTAGAAATTTAAGAAAAGTCAAACATGGGCTTCGTAATATTGGTAAAAGCATTGCATACTATGAAAATAGAATAATTAAGTGCGAGACATCAATGGAAATTAATGTGTGTTTCTTTACTGGAAGAATTATTAATCGATACTATGGATAAGTATATAAAAGTATAATGTAAGAAAAAACAAAGACAAATTACTAGTTGGTGGACTCAAGACTTGGACAAGCAAAGGAGGATTATTTGTGCACTAAGGAAGAGTTCCCAGGTTAGCAAGATCAATGATAGATGTTAGATTGAAGAGAAAAATTGAATACAAAAGAAATTTAGCCTCTTTAACAAAAAGAAAAAAAAAAGAAAAAGAAAAAAGAAAATTAAAAAAACTAAAAGAAATTATAGAAATATGATCTTTCTACTAAATAAAGAGTATTATGATAATTATTATCGGATTGCAAAAGGAAGGTTAAGAAGTCAAATGATTTTGAAACAGTCACAAAAAGAGGGAGTCGCCTCTGTGGAGGATAATTATATTCTTTATAGGAATAATTAAGGATAATTATAATTTATAAGGATAATTATATTCTTTATAGGAAAATTGTGGAAGAAGTCGTATATGGAAAGCAGGATAGTGATTTAAGTACCGCGGAGAGATCAATATGGAAGATGACAACAACATTGAAGATGCTTTTATCTATGGAGAAATTTCTTATACGATTAAGTGTTTAAGAGTCCATTCTGCCCCTGGATTAGATAGAATCGGGATTTGGCTAATTAAGAAATTATTTGAGGAGTTTTCTTCATTTCATTTGATTTTATATAATAGATGCCTTTATTTGCGTATTTTCCTAGATGCTTGGAAAATTGGTCAAATGATACTCCTACCAAAAGGTAATGGAGGATATAGACCTATTTGCCTCTTAAAGACGTATGCAAAAATTTATGAAAAACTAATTACAAATAGAATTCAACACAAATTAAGAGAAATAAATTATATTAGTGACAGGCAATATGGCTTTCAACGAGGCAAGTCTGCGGATTTGGCCTTATATAACGTTTATTTCATTTGAAAGATAAGAAGCAAGAACATCATGTTGCCCTGATCTCTTTCGATATCTGTGGGGCGTTTAAATCAATTATTTGGCCGTCCCTGCTATCTGAACTGAAGAAAATAGGGATCAAAAAACAAATATTTGAAATTGCTCAAGATTATCTAAAAAATAGGAAGATTGTTTTCAAAAATAAAAATGATTCTGTTCATCTTGTTTATGGTATTGAAAGAGAATGTCCTCAAGGCTCCTGCAGCGCACCCCTGTTCTGGAGGCTCATTGTCAATAAAATTCTTATTATTATGACTGGTGTTGAATTATTCTGCTTTGCAGATGATATTTTGGCTATTGTCTATGATGACTCGATTTTGGATTTGATTTATATGATTATGATTTTGGCTATTGTCTATGATGTTAGAGAAACTCGAAAAAACTTTTTAAGTTTAGAGAGAAATTTTATGAACTGGAGTAGAGAAGAAAATATAGAGTTTAACAATGAAAAAATAAATGCCATTTTCTTTCCTAGGGGTGGTAAGGCTACTAGAAAACTAAAATTGAAATTTAATGGTATAAAGATTAAGTCACTTTAAATATCTTTGAGTGATTATTGATGAAAAGCTAACTTTTATTGAACATTTTAAGGCGATTCACAGAGATATAGAGAAAATTTTAAATTATTATAGAAGTACCTTTGATTCACAAACTTTAAAGTTAAAAAGCACCACCCTTAGAAATATTTATTTAAATGTTGTTAGGCCAAATATTTTATATGGTATTGGCATGTGGGGCTGCCAGGCAGGGGAATTGATTAGACTGAAAACTAAAGTGGATTCATTGCAAAGGAGCTGGCTGCTTGCAATCACAAGAGCTTTCCGTACTGTTTCTACAGAAGCTATTTGCTTATTTGCTGGCATTCCGCCACTCACAATATTTTATAACTTTTATTATGGGAAAATTTTTATTCAGCTATGGTTTTAAAAAGATTTTAACATGTGAAAATGGTGATGTTTTAAATGGTAACGCCTTGTCAGGAAAAGATTTTAATATACATCCAAAAGATTTAAAATGTATACCGTACGATAAAGATTATATGAATACTGGCATGATTGATATATACACTGATGGCTCCGGATATGAAGGTGGAACTAATTGTGCTTGTGTTATTTTTTATTACGGAGTCGATAATAGAAACCTACGATTAGAAGGAAATAAATCAGTATATCAAGCTGAAGCGGTTGCAATTAGAGAGGCACTGCGGTGGAGTTATAAAAATTTAAAACAGTACTTTTCAAATACATATTTATTATGATGCTCTCTCGGCCCTACAAGGCTTGTCGAATACGGAACCAAGCAATAGACTTCTTCTGGATATAAAAAACATTTATAACAAAATAAGAGTGAAAAATGGTATATATTTTCATTGAGTCAAGGCATATATTGGTGTTACCGGGAATGAGAGGACGGATATGCTAGCTAAAGAAGCAGCCCTGGGAGAGGGAGATATTTATGACAGTATTAATGATTCCAGAAGAATTACCTTGAGAGAAATGAAAGCAAGTATAATTGAGAAATGGGCTCGGGAATGGAATGGTTCAAATAAAAATAAGAACTGAAAATTTTTTACTATAAAAAGAAAAAATGGATCTATTTAATAATATAGATACTATTCAAGTTATCACGGATCGTGGTAGATTCCCAGCCTGTTTAAAACTTTT